CTCTCCTCCATTTACTCTTGGAAAGCCCCAAATCTGGTCATTTAACAGGGGAGAAGGCTCCATTGGCAAGCAAGTTCCCAGTGAATTGCATTGCTCAGATAGCAAGTGTCTCCCTGTTTGGTGGCTTATGATCATTAACACCTGTCTGCCTCAGGAGCTCTAAAAGCTGCTCTGTTTGCTATGGAAACCTTGAACTGGGAAAAAATCTCAAGGCACAAAAAAGTGTTTTCTGAGTCTCTGCACTGGAGGCAAGATTCATGAGATGCACAAGATGTTCAAATGCCAAGACCAAGAAAAAAGATCAAACCTTCCAAGAGCCCACACTGAACTGAGTGTGAATTTCTAGATGCAGTTTTATTTAATAATTTTTCCTTTTAAAATTACTCAGCTTACACAGAAAGGGACTATATACGGATGTCTGTGATTTGAAAGGCCATCAATGTACTTCCTGAAGAGAAAAAAGTAATTATGAGGTTGATTTAAAAAGATAAACAGTAGCACAGAATTACATCAAACAGAAGTATAACCAAGTTATTTCCAGGAAAAAAAAATAGAGCTAATCATACCTATACACCTTAAATAACTATGTAACACAGAAAGGAATGATTCCATCTATATGATGATTCAAATACACTTCTTGAACTCCAAAACTCTCAATGTTTTCAAGTGTTTAGAGACATAATCTAACTTTTGGGCTCTGAAATATTGCTGAATTTTTACTAAAAATAATAACTGCCTTGAACCCCAAATACTCTTCTTATTATTCTCGTACTTCAAAGTTTTATATAAATGAATGATAATTGCATCTCAGGTTTATGGTCTGGTACCTCACTGTCCCCTTAGAGCAGCTATTACCATGGTGATAAGATTGCTTAAATTAAGCTGTCTTTTTCCACAGGACTTGGCTCATTGCCAGTGCAGTGAAGGGAGATTTCAGTCCATTCAGCACAGCATTAACCTTACTGCCAACACTGCTAAATGGGCTAGAGGAACTAGGAAGAAATCTGATTTAAAAAAGGAAGGAACAAGCAAATATCTTAAATACTGACACACAAAACAGGACTAAAAACTCCACTTTGAAACAAAATCAAAATTAGCTAAATTTTGAGATTTAGGCATAAAACTTAAAAATTCTAATGCTTTGGTAATCTATGTCAAAACTTAACTCAAAATAAGTGTGACCAATGGTTTAGCCATGACAGATCAGTAACAGACTATAAGGAGGATAAGAAAAATGTCAGGTAAAAATCCCTACTTAACATCTAGATTTTACTTCTTTGGGGATTTCACTGAGGTGGGAAAATAAATAGCAAACAGCAGGAAAAAATAAAGAAAGTAAGAAAGCAATATATGGAAACAAATACTGAGTTAACTAGAAGGACATGGAGAAAATGAAAAACATTCCTTGGAGTTATCAGGGTTTAATACTTACTCCATAAAAAGCAGTAAGCTATGTTCAGATCGGGCTGTCAGAGATAATGACAATGTATTACACTGTAAATCACAAGATTTGAAGCATTAGAGCAAAGTATCTATGAAGCCTGATAAAACAATTATTTTAGTGGAAAGGAAGGGAATAGGCAATAGGTTGCAAGTACTTTATTCTGGGGGAGAGGGAAAAAATCAATTTTTGTGAGAGCCCAGTAACATTATCCTAAAAAAAGAGAGTCAATGTTTCCTGTGTTTTTATGTGGTGTGAGAGATCCTTGCAGTCATTTTCTGGCAACACATAAAAATTATTTCTTTGTGTGACAGTGAAATTACTGCATGTTCATAAGTAATTTTAATAATGGCTATGTTTATTTTTCCCAAACCGTCTGCGCATGCATAGATGGAGATTGCATTTGCATCTCTGGGCACATTACAGCGTTGAAGGTTGCAGCACAGTCACCAGTTTGAGCTGCTACACCTCCTACAGGTACAACTCTTCTCCAATTCCCTCAGCAGCAGGTGTTCCATAACATGTCCTCTGGAGTTCTAAAGCTGTTAATTCTTATTTTTATTTGGGTTGCTTATAATCAGAATAACTGCCAGAGTTAGGGAACTGGCCTTGGCAACAACACACAGACAGACTTTAATTTTAGCTTTTAGTGTGAACTTGAACAAGAAATTTCATCTTTCCAAGTCACTGTCATCATTAAACAGTTGCATTAGTAAGCTAGGTCTTGACAAAACTGCTTTGCAGATTAGTGCATGTAACACCTCTAGATGAAGCACAAAACAAAATTTCTGATTTGCCCTTTTCTATAAAAATGTAACTACATTTCACTGTACAACATATATGTATATGGACACATACTGTACCACAGTATATGTCTTTACTGCAGCCCTTTGCCATCTAACCTAGGGTTTCAAACTCTAATTATATAAGAGAACATGTTTAATCTGAGTATTGCAAATATTTTCAGAACTAGAGAATTTTCTTTTACATAAATATGACACATTATGATCAGACTCAAAGTTGCTTCATTTCTGTCTGTCCAGAGTGAATAGGTTTTACAGTCACATGATTAGATTTAGGAAATCTTTTCCTGTCTGAAAATTCTCTAATATTCCATGGCAGTAAAGATAACATCAAACACGTTCTGTTTATGGATTACCAAGGGATACAGTCAGAAGAAAAGCTGAACATGTGTATTCTGATTTTTGCCTACTTGTTACAGTAGGGAATACATTACTGTCTAAGTTTTCTTTTTGATTGCAAATGTTCTAAATTTAACAACAACAAAAAAATCTCCTTAGCTATGATATTAGCTAGATTTGGTATTATTAAAGATCTGGCACAAAACATATCACTGAAATGTTTCACTTTATTTTGTAGGATTATTTTTAATGGGCAGTTAAACACTAATGGCGAAGGAAAACAAGGGAATCCAGATCTTAGGCCAAAGCACCAGTTCAATTCTAGCAGAATCATTCCTTGGTAAAGGAGGGATAAACAAGCTGCAAGCCCTTCATTTTCCCTAAGGCTGTGCTGTGCACTGTAGACTTCTGGGAAGTGGTGATCACAAATGTTTCTTATTACAGTGGTCCCCTGCTATAGCACTTGTCTGCACACAAACTGCAGATATATTCTGGCAAGCACACTCACAGGTTTTCCTTATGGATTACCCAGCCTTTCAGCCAGCTTCTTGAGAGGCTTCTGGAGTGACCAGTGGGGGCATGAAATCAGCTGAAACAACCACTGAAGGGTCAGAACACGGAAAATTCCCAGGCTCTGTGAATGACTAACATGTAGCCCAAAGGATGTTTTCCAGTCTGAATTCTTACTTCACTGCACAGCCCTTTATATAATTATAGATATAGCTACATATCTCTGTATTTGTCCTTGAAGAGAAGCTTCAAATTGCAAAAAATAGTAAGAAACCAGAAAATTTAAACCAAACTCAAAAGAAAAATAAATTGCAAAGTATTGTCCCCAATGAAGTCTGATGGAAATGCCATGAACGGGGATGCAGAGCCTTAAAAAGATCTACTTGACTTTTAATTCAAGAGAACCAAAAGTTAATGGGACAGAACACTCAGAGATCACCTTGCTTGCAGAATTAAGTATAGACAGATAGATAGATAAGCTTGTTACACCAGAAACAGAGAAATTTATCTTTATAAAGACTGTAAGCCAAAGCTTCTAGCTCCAGATGGATCAGCTGAACTAAAGTGTTGTTTATGTTCACTTTTGCAGAAAAGTTTCCATCCTCCTTGATTCTTTTTGAGATTTGTCCTTAAGACAAATAAGGAAAGTTTTCTTTCAGAATGAATTGGCGTGTTCCTCAATCCCAACTTAATAGCAGAACTAAAACTTGACACTTCTGATGAGCAGCAGTCAAGTGTTTAAAGACATATATTAAGATTAATTTTTGTAATAAAATAAAACCAACCTTGTTATAAAAGAACAAAATTTAGATTTCAGTGATTAATTGTGCTAACTGGGTCTTGGGCATATGTAAAAATCAGATGTATGTTAAAAATCCCCCAAACATTTCCTGCATAATACTTTATATTTTCTGGATCCAATTAGGTGCATGTCAGAAATTTATCTGTTTCATCAGACACAACTTTCACAAACTCTTGCCCTTTACATGGTTTAGAATGGCAAAACCCAAAGGAAACCATAGTTAAAACCTCCTGGTGCTCTGTTGACAATGAAGAGGAAGAAGACTGAAAATTAAGATCTTGTTTTAAAAATCAAGTCAGCAAACACAGCTGTAGTTGAAAGCCATCAAATTAGCTAATACTTATCAGGAATAGGTGAAAAAAAAAAGCTTATTATAGCCAAAAAGACAGAGGAGATTGTGCAGAGTTTGGGTACTGAAAAGTAAGTTGCCTGAATACAGAATGTGTTTGCTCTCAATTGTTTTTCAGAGTAGATTATTTGTGTAAATTGTGAATGATCCTGAATTTGAACCCTCCCTTTCCAGCCATACCCAATGTCCATCTTGGTATCGTTTCTCCATTGCCAAATGATTATAAAATTATATTTGGCTATCTATGCAATAAAGTATTAAATACATATTGAGGAAAAGATAATTTTAGTATTGTTTCTGGTCTTTTCTTATCTACAGAAAAACTACAGCCTGACTAGATGATCTCCAAAGGTCCCTTCAAACCTCAACCATTCCTGACTCTGCATGACTCTAGAAGTGCCAAAGTACACTGATTAAACCAAACTCCTATTTGCTGGTTACAAAATGGTCCTGGGAGAATATGGGAGGGCAAGACAAACCCACAAGCACAAATCCTGAAAGCACACAACCATAAAATGCCAGTGTAACCTACACACGTTAAAGGAAGTGCTATCTTCCAAAACTTTGCATAAATGTGCTTTTTTGTGTATTTTTGACCTAGATCAATCAAGCAAAAACCACCACACGTGGCTACTTGAGATGGGCTCAGAGTAAAACACATTGGCATGTCCTGAAGGACACCACCAGCTTGCGTCCATGCCAGGCCTCCTCCCCATCTCGTGTCTTTTCCCCTCTGTGCAGAGCCGCGGTCCATACCTGGTTTCCAGCGGGATGTTGCTGTTCAAGACCCAGCTGTTATGAAGGTGCACTGAGTCCTGCGTGCTGGTGGGGGGCGTGGGGGCAGCGGGGCTGGGCTGGCTGCGGGTGGTCATGGATCTCCTCTGCAGCGAGTCGGCCGACGGAGGCGGCTTCCTGGCGCACGTGCACGCGTGAGGCGGCGGAGGCGGCGGCGGCAGCGGCCTGAAGGTGAACTGGTTGTGAGGGCTACCAGGCATGTCTGAAACAGCAAGGAAAAGACAACCAAACACACGGAGGGTTATTATTTTAGAAAGATCAAGACTGTCTTTAGATGTTGTTTTGCCTTTCGCAGCTGCAGTGTGCCTGGAGCTCAGGGCTTTCTGCTTTAAAAACCCTAACCCTAGGCGTAACCCTAACCAGGTAAATCAGCCTAGGGTTAGGGATGGTTCATCTGAATTAAAAAAAGGAATGGGGAGACTGAAGTCTTAAACTAAAGGAGGGCAGATTTCCATGAGGTATTAGGAAATAAATCTTTGTTGTAAGGGTGGTTAGGCACTGGAACAGGTTCCCCAGAGAAGTTTTGGGTGACACACACCTGTAGGAGTTCCAGGCCAGGTTGGACAGGGCTTGGAGCAACCTGGTCTAGTGGAATGCATCCCTGCCCACAACACGTGGTTGAAACTAGTCCCTTCCAACCCAAACCATTCTGTGATCCTGTGGTACATTATTATTGGGAATAAATCACTGTACTTTATCACTTTCTTTACCCTGTTTCCTGTAAATGTTGCTGCAATATTTGAAATCATTTAAAATAAAACAATCTATTGAAACACAAACAATCAGATACAGACACACCCTACAGCAGTGTAATTCAATAACAGCCAAACAAACAAAACCCAAAAAACAACCAAAAAAGAAGAAGAAAAAAAAGGTGGTATAACATTCACCTAATTTGTCAGGATTTTTTGGGGATGAAGGTAAAGAACATATAAATTAACAGTGAATAGCATCACAGATACCAACTGATTTACAAGGTATAATTCTCATTTAAAAAATCTATGAAAGAAACAGACAGTATAAAAATTAGTCTTGCTCTTCAATTTAGAGAGAAAATGACTGAATAAGTCCTACCCTCCCTAACAAACATCTTCCCTAAAATAATGTTAACACATTTCTGGAGTCTGTTACTGCATTTGTTAAACAGAGCTGAGAAAAGGTCTCTGAAGCACTGATCATCCAGACAACTCAGAGAAAAGGTTTTATGGCAGATGAGCTGGCAGGGAGCTCCCAGCCACTGGACCAGTCTGAGAAGGAGCCTGAGCCTGTGGTGGGTGCCCAAGGCCCTGCTCCCCGTGCTGCCACTGCCCTATGGGGCCCTCAGGCTGGCCCCAGGACCTCCAAGGGATGTTGTACCTGCACAGGCTCCTGTCCCATGCTAACAAATGCTGCCACATGGCTCAGGGTGGCTCAGCCTCAGCCACTTCAACCCTCCTGCAAAGGACAATGAAGACACAAACATGGTGCAATGGTACTTTCAAGGAGCAACAAAATCTTGCTTTCTCTACTTCTTCAAAGTCTCCAAAGAATCTCACTACAGCCAGATACACAGCTATGGACAATAGTGCTGTGGTATTTATAAAGAAGATAGGGGTAAAAATTGCTGCCTGATTGAGTAATCAGTGAACTTTTTAACCTGAAACTCCTCCAGCTACTTCACCTCAGTGTCTAACGAGGCTTTATCCTATTTCTGTACTCACCCTCACTCTCCCTTTCACCTTAGTAGATGTCCAGTTAAATTTGCAGAAATCCAGCTGGAGCAAAGCTCTGATGAACCTGCAAAAACTCCCTGCAAGGAGCTGTTGCCATCCATTTAAAACACGTCTTTTCTTTATATTATGACATGATGTGTCTTCAAGGCAAAAGATGAAAGTGTATTCCCTCCCCTTCTGGAATGGCTTGTGGAAAAAAAAAACACCTTTTTCTGTGTGACAGTCCCAATTTACCCCAGCTGGAGAAACAAGGCTGTTTAGTGCTCCACATAAGCTTTTCAATGCTGTGGTAAGCAAAACTGTCACAGATTTGGCCCAGGCTTAATCCTTTTAATTTCATTGATCTTTTATCAAGGCAGCATTCTTACAGTTGCACTAAGGTTTATGCTGTAATATTTGTTTGCATACACCAGAAAAGCAGTTCTAAGCATAATTAGAAAACTGGAGACCTCAGTAAATTAAATCACCAGAGTCAACAGTCCAGGGCTCCAAAATAATCTGCTAAGGCACTTTCATATAATAATTAATCTAGGTAAATCCTGTATCCCGCTATTTTAGAATTGAAAGCTACCCAGATTTTGCACATATTTGATGTCCAGCATCCTTATGTATTTGATCAATTACACTTCCTTACTTAAGGTATCAACTTTAAACCCTCTCTACAGAAAATTTGCAGGATTATTAAACAACCTATAATTTGCATGACAAGCCATTTCAATGGTTGAGCCACTGTCCTGTTAGAAAAATGCTGATTTCTGCCAGGACACACAGTTAGACTCTACAAGGTACATCAAGAGCTGTGCAGTAAATGCCAAGCAGCCAAGGTGACACTGCTTCTCTAGGTATTTGGGAAAAAAAACCCCTGTATAATCTATATGGCAGCACAACTTTTAGTTCCCTTCTTCCCCTTTCATCTATCCTGTCCCTATCCCATCAATGGCACACAATTGTCTGACAGAGTTTAGTTTGTTCCATGCAATAGATTGGTTCTGCCTTTGAACCATAAAGTCTCTATGGCTCAGAGGGTACCTTAAATCTCCCAGTGCAATTTATCACAATACATCAACACATCAGATTTCCTGGGGGAATTCCTTTTTAATTATCACACTTGTCACCCTTTCATCTAGCTACTGGCATCACAGAAAACCTCACACTGGAGCCTGATTATTTTGGTGATTTAAAAAGTCTTCATCAGACCCTCATTTCAGTGAAGCACTGCAAACTCATTAGGCTGAGAATCAGCCCTAGTTTCCAATTAGTTTTTACAGACTTTCTTATTTGGCAGAGTTGGTTTTATTTTGCTTGAAACTAAGTCTATAGCTCATTATTTTTATAACACAAAAAATATTGCTTGGGATATAAAGCAGCATTAAATCTCAATATGCACACTTAGGATGCTTCAGGACTCTAAATAAACAGCAGACTATGTAAAATAACTTACTGCAAAATCATTTAAATACCTAAAAGGGAATATTATGCAAGATAATATGTCTAAAGCAAACAAACTTCCAAAATATATGAGACTGATATAGGAATTGGCTTACCTAATGCTATCTCTAACAACTGCTGCTTTTATTGTAATGGCTGCTAATAATGTTCATATTTTTAATTCTTGTACATCAAAACATTTATGTATGATATGCAAAGACAGACTTACTTGTTTTCATTGTCTCCATTGATGAGATAGAAATTTCCATTTATCTAAAAATGTAGCTATATAACATTATTTCAGTTCAAACTTTACACTTGGAATAATTCGCTTCAAATCAGATTTCCACCTGAGGAGTAACCAAGCCAGAAATTGTCCTCTTGATCTTCATCACTGGCTTTCTCATCTGCATTTAGCCCATTTTTTTACAGACAAAAGAGACTGCTTAAAAAATTTATAAATTCTTTCCCCTGAGAAGTAATTTTTTAAAAATAGTCCTCTCCTTTCAGCAGAACACATCTAAAACTGCAAAGTTTCCTGAAAAGATCCAGACAACATTCTGGTGATTTCTTTTACTCCAACTTGCACATTCCCCATCCACTTCACAAACTCAAACTTCTTTCTACCTGTTGATTTTTAAAATATGTATTTATTTTTAGGGGTTTTGCTTTCATTGTTCAATTACAAGAATAACACAGTAAGTGTTAATTTGATTAGCTCTTCTGCTTTGAGGCACTTTGCAAACTTCATGCACTCACACCAAGAGAAACTGCAGAGGAGATGGCAGCTGGAAATAAGAAAATCTTGCCTTGAAATTCTGCTAGCATGAAGGAGTTCTACTTTCTCTCTTTCCTTTGAAATTGAAGAAAGGAGTTATTTTTATCCCCTGAATATTTCTTCTAACAAAAACTCATTTTCCTTAAGAGTCAGGCTAAAATGCCTTTGTAATCATAAACATGTAGCTAAATTGCTTTACAGACTGGCAAAAAGGAAATAAACAGCTTAATCAACTAGTTAGCATATAATTTAAAGTTAGTTTTGAAAATTAGCCAAGCCTTGGCAAAACTATTTTCCTAACAGTTCTGAAATATATTTCACTATACTTTCTGGATCCATATAAAAGACAGGGTAATTGAACTGTTTTATCATTTACTGACAAGGCTACAATAGCCTGTACTGTTATTAGGTGAAGTATATCAGAGAGAGTATACTAAAATGCAATGAACCATAAAAGGTTTGCATCTAACCTGTAGTGCTTTTGAAATATTTTAATTTTTTCAGTTCCTGAATTTATTATTTCTTCGTATGTTTGGATTTTTTTTTTTTTAATTTATTGGATGTGTCTCAGTAGAGAGTGAATTAGTTGGCAATCCATTATTTAATGAACGAAACAGCAACATATGTTCAGGGAGCTTAATTCAGTTTATTTAAAAGTTCTGTGGGTATACTACTGCTCAATTACAAACCACTCTGTGATTATTTTTTAAGCATGCTTAGAAATATAGAATGGTTTGGGCTGGAAGGGACCTTAAAGATCATCTAGTTTCAAGCCCCCTGCTGTGGACAGGGACACCTTCCACTGTCCCAGGTTGCTCCAAACCCCATCTAGCCTGGCCTTGGACACTTCCAGGGATCCAGGGGCAGCCACAGCTGCTCTGGGCACCCTGTGCCAGGGCCTCACCACCCTCACAGGGAAGAATTTCTTCCCAGTATCTGATCTAAGTCTGCTCTCTGTCAGTTTAAATCCATTGCTCCTGTCACTGCATGCCCTTGTAAAAAGTCCCTCTGATGCTCCTATAACCCCTTTATGGACTGGAAAGCTCTGTAAGGTCTCTGTGTTCTGCACAGGAGCAGTAAGGACTGCTGACGATGGCAGCACTTCCTTTTCTTAATGTTTTTATATTAAAAGCTAAACTTGTCCTGTAAGACCTAAGTAACTATATATTTATAAACAATCATACTGGACCTCATTCTAGGAAACTACAAAAATGTAATTACCCAGTTTTTAACACCAGAGGGAAAAGGAATGATGAGACCACCACCAGCATATCTTTCTTTAAA